TGTGGCCGGGCGCTTTGTTTAATTTTACGTTGTTTTCATCGTTACGTCGGTTGCTTTGTCGAAGAGTATCTTTCCACGTTGTTTGTTTGTTTGTTTGTTTGTTTGTTTGTGAAAGTTTATTTCTATTTTTTTCATTTACCTCCTATGTTTACGTGATTCTGCGAAATGTACGGAACATGACAAAGCAGCGGCCTGTTTCTCTCTTTTCCTTCTTCACAGAATTCTCCGCGCGTGCTGCGCTTGCAATTGAGGAAAGCTAGTCCGGTTTCTTTGCGAGATAGATACACTCGCAAACGTTGCAACTTGCTTCTCTGTGACAGAAGCCTTTCTCTCCCGCAACTGTGCTCGCGTTAAACTGTCATACTATCGTATGAAACTGTCTGACCGCCTGTCGATCGAAAAAGTAGTCAATTTTTTCCGCGTGTCGTGGCACTTGACGCGCGGTGAAAATTCGTCACACACGCTACGAGCGAATCACTTTACTTCGTCAAATCCGCGATTCGGCGCTCCTCTCTCGGAATTAGTGGACATGGACGCAAAAATCCAACGGAGGGGAAAAAAGAGACCCGCAAACAATTTTAATAAATGTAATAAATCTACAATAACTATCATATATAATAGAGTGATAGTTAAAATAGTAGTTTCCAATGATGATCGATTTGTAACTGTATAAATTATAGAAAAATAAAGGAAAGATGTACGCGTTTGTAGTTCGATGTCTCACAATGCGTCGACTTGTACTACTGAAATCGTCATCTGCCTTTACGTAATGTTAATCAACGATTAATTTTGTGGAACCATTTTCTCAGTCTCTTGTTACTAATTTAATACCTTTTAATTTAACCGCTTTTTTATTTAAAATCAGAGAATTAGAAATAATTTTTAAACACTTCTCCCCTGCGTCAACTTTCTTTGGTGTCTGCAGGAAATTTCCAAATTCGAAGTAAATTTCTAACTTGTCATCAGTTGGATTTCAATATAAATATCACCAATTCCAAACAAAATGATTTCAATCAATTAAATTTACGAGGTTCGGAATTAAATTGCAGGGGAATTTGGCGCTTGGTTATTGGTAATTTAATGGTCACTGAAAGTTTGAAAAAGAAAAAAAAACGTTTGAGGATTAATTGTTTAAATTCCGGTTGATAGAGTTTCAGTTTCCAGGTTTCTCAGTTCTGTCAATCGACACCCGCCAGTTTTTCAAATATCCCCGAAAAAAATCCTCCATCGCTTGGATTATTAATCGCGACAATAAACTCGGCCAGCGCGTTAAAACTCTAATCGATCAGGATTAGAAATCCAGACAGGTGGAGGATTTTCTGCTCATTTTGCTGGAATTTATTTCGCCTTCGGGGCGACGCGACGCGTCGTAAATCCCGAAGCCCGAAGCGATTAGAAAGACGCGCGTTATCAAGAAGAATAATCTTCCAGAGTGCCCTATCTTCATCTTCCTCGAGGCGGTTTCGCACTTCCAGCTCCGGCTCGCGATTTCCGAGCCGAGTCGCGTATGAGTTCCAAACAATCGATCGGCCGACGCCGATGTTACCTGCGTTTGCCCTCCACGCTCGTTCGCTCGTCTCTTGTTCAGGGTTGCCTACGAACGAAGACCCCGAGCTTTCGATTTCCTTTTCAGGGTTCACCGAATAACCATGAGAGGGGGGAGGGGGGAGGAATCGTATCGTGCGCGTGATACAAAAGACTGGATCTCTGATTTTTATCGCTTTATTTACCACGTTTCCTTGCTATTTTTAGACCAGTCGAAACACGTATGTACGCGCACGTATATGTTGTTTGATCCGACGAGGATGGAAAAAGTTGGAGGAAATGGATAATCGGATGATTTGATCAATTTTAACGCGGCAGTTACCGAAGATCGAAGCGTGGAACTTGTGTCGGAGAGATGAGACTGCAAACGATGGAGAGGTGTTTGCGATAGGAGAACAAATCTTTAAAAATCCATCATGAAACTATATAATTTATATAATTTACCAATTATGATCTACACCTATATAATTTATATAAGTTAATAATATAAGTTACATAATTTATATAAGTACTTATATTATTAATTTATATAAGTTAATATAAGTTATATATATATATATATATATATATATATATATATAAGTTAATAATATAATTTATATTTGTTTACTAATTTATAATTTATTAGTTATAATCTACATTTGTATAATTTATAGAGAGTAATTCACGTAACATCTCAAATGACTTTTTAATCGTGCGTCTGATAAAAAATTGTTTAGTACAAAAGTTGCATGGTCTCAAGGGAGACAAAATATGGCGCATAAATTTTTTGTGGGTTTCATGATTTTTTAAATCGAACCTTATATTTTTCTCATCGTTAATCGAAAGATAAATTAAATTCCAAATAAGAATATATTAAGCCACATTATTCCTAAACTTAATTTTTATATAATGTATATAATTAAATAATTCATTATATATAATTATATAATTTATATGATAATTTGCCTCGAGGACGAAAATTGCGTGATACAGTCAGAGGATTCGACATTGTTTATCAGTGTTATTTTCTTCGGATATACATCTATATAACTTAGCAAATATACATTTCGACGAAAAATCACAAGTTTTGAGCAAGTTTTTCGATTAAGTCGCAGAGATTCAATTTATAAGTGAAGAAATATCTGCAAATTTACCTTTGTTGATTAACTCGCAAACTTTCACGTGGAATATTCTTAATGACAGAGCGACTCCTAGAGAGAGAGATTTTCTGCAGCGCAGCGAATTTTCACGAATTGTGATCAAGCGTCCTGGTCAGTTCAAATACCAGCGAGGAAAGTCTCCCCCAACAAAGTTACCGCTGGAACTTGGAGAGACACCGATGATCAGCTCTCCATTGAGCTTCCTTCAAAAGTTTCCTTCCTTCCAATTCGCTTTTGGTATTCGAAGCGAACGACGCTCAAAGGGACGAAATTCCAGAGAGAGTGAGCATACAAGTCGAAGCAAAGACCTCGAGCTTCGAGTCGGAAAGACGACAAGTGGGAAGAATCGAATTTTACAACGCGAAATTCCTTCTCGCTCGGAGATTTTCGCTTCTTCGCGATGGAACGAGCAATCGACTCTCTTGTTCCTTTCCAAACGCAAGCAGGTTCTATCTCTTTCCAGACAACAAAACGTGAGGGTGAATATACAGCTTTATTTTTCATCTTTATTAACGATCTGGAACGTGTTGGTACCAGAGAGGATCGATAACGTCGATAAACGCAAACAGTCGATCAACGATTCTCTTTCCAAGAAAGAAATTACTAATTCTTGGATTATCGTGTTAACCTAATATCGTCAATTCGGTAATTGTCAGTTTATCGACCGGATGAACTGCAACGCGTCGAGAAATGACAATTGCAAACAGAATTTGTACAGCTTGATAATCTTCGCGCGTCATTATTAAAAATAGACTGTGAATACCAGTCACAAGAGAGAGTTGTGTTCGTCTATCTATACGATATCTATTCTTAGTGTACAGCGTAATCAGCCCGTTATAGTCGTTAATCTGAAACAGGAAATGTAGAGTGGCTATTGTTTTTCCTATACAGGAAGTGTACAATATCCATAACCAGTGAAATTACGTACGTACGCCTACGATGCAACTACCGTTGCTCTTTATGTACATACATAATATCATAATATCATTGAACATACCCAGGATATGAATAACAACTATCGCTATCCTCTCAACGAAATAATTGCACAACGATCGTTCGTGCTATTTCTCAACGTAAATTACTTGCTGCTATTTTTTTCTTAAAGCATGCACAATTACAACTGATCTCTCGCATTTCGAGACTGTAGTTGAAGTTGCAACAGCCTGTAACAGCTTGTAATTAACCTTTCAAGCGTTTGTGTCGAGTATACTCGTCATGAAAAGATGGGATTTTTTTTTGTTCAACGTCGACTCGTGGAGAAAAAAAAAAATCGCTTCTGCTATTTATTGTAAAATCTAGGTAAAAAAAAGTTATATATATTTGTAATTTTAGCACATTTTAGGATATTTCAAGGCAAACCAAAACGAACAAAGAAAATTCCCAACAGCATCATTCTTCTCTCAAGAAAACAAATTCAATTTATCTCTAATCACTTTAATTTTTCAAATATTTGGTTTTTTACTTGTTTCTATGAATTGATGAAACTTTGAACTTTTACTGTTGTTCCTTTTTGCGAAATAATTTTTAAAAAATGAAACATCAAGTTCTCTAAACACCGTAAATACCAATGAAATTAAAAATTGTTCAAAGAAACGCCGAAAGAGTTTTGTCACGTTCTTATGATTTAACTCGGTCGTGCATCTATCGTGTTTCCGTCATCGCCTAGAAATAATCGAGCACATCAGTGCACATTGTCAAAACAAAACAAAACGCTTAAGGTGTTAATTAATAACATGACGCGCTATTGTAACAAACAATTTCAAAAGAATCGAGAGAGAGAGAGAGAGAGAGAGAGAGAGAGAGCGAGGGTTAACATCGTTTGGCTTTCTTCGTTCCAACTTGTGAAACTGATGCATCGCGGGGGGTAACAGTAATTCTGCAAAATGGGAAACAACAGCCGTGAGAGAGAGAGAGAGAGAGAGAATCGGCAAGAGCGAAGCGTAGCGTTGGAGATCGATTGATCGGCTTCGGTTTAATCGCATCAGGGAATCGACGACGGGCGCCCAGCCGTTGTTCCACCAATTTCGGTCCATTCAGTCGGAACGATACTTGCAAGATACACAGAGACACACGTATAGACAGAGGCTGGAGGCTTGGCTCGGCCCCCAGGCCGATCGATCCAACGATCACGTGGCCCGCGAAGAACCTCCGCTAATGCGGATCGCCTTTAAGACCGCTTAGCGTCGCGACACGTAAGGAGATCTTTTCTTTCTCGTTCGTTACGTAACCTCGCCGAGTGCTCGAGAGTGGGCTGCGAATTAGGGAACCCCTATTTGCTTGTCTATTCTTTTCAATGAAACGACCATGAATTTTTCAACCAACTTCTCCCATTCCAGGAGTAATGGTCTTCTCCCTGCCGTCGACGACGAAACTACCACCAAACAACGGTGAAAACGCGCCAATACGCGATTTTTCCTGGATAAAAAACACACAGCTGGATGTTCGAAGGTTGTTTCGGTGATTTGTTTTTTTGCGCGCGTTTTTGTACTTCGGTTTTGTACAAATGAATGCTTCTGCTCCTTTGTTTGGCAGTTCCAATGTTTTCCCTTCGCGTGAAAAACGATTAGGTCGACGATTTTTCTTTTTTTTTTTTTTTTTTTTTTTTTTTTTTTTTACAGAGTCAGCGAGAGAAAAGAGGAACGGAATTTTTTTTTCAATATTCACGCATTAATGTTGCAATATCGTAGTTGTTATATCTTTAGTTGCGTTTAATTATACTAGATGTAATGTTTACTAATAATAATCGTAGGAATGCACGAACAGAAAGAAAATACGAATGGCGGGAGATACGCGACGTTTTTCTTGTTGAAAAGGGAGTCGAGTGAGCGTAAAAACGTAAGGTCGATTTGAATTGTGAAAAAGAGTTGGTGGAGTAGTTAAAAACGAGGTTGTTAATCCGTGTTCGTTGTCTTGTTTAATCACCAGCATTGTTATTAAATAAATGTTATTTATCTTTAATCTCTCTACGATATTACTCTGAATTAGAACTTAATAGAAGAGAGTAATTTGTATTAGAGGTTACATCGCGAGGATGATCTAATTTCTTGTTAAAGCGAAAGTCGATTATGCAGAGACGTTAATTCGTTTTTCTTTTTTTTTTTTTTTTTTTTCTTTTTCTTTTATGAACACGAGGCATACTAAAACGAGGATATTAACGGAAGTTTTTTGCGAAAACACGGCGCTGGAAGAGCGAGGTAAAAGCAGAAGCAGTTTTTCGTTTTTCGTACCACCGTGAACGAAAAACCAGTTTTCAGAGGAAATTAACTCGGCACTGACCCTGCACGATTAAATCTAGATCACCGATTTTTTCGTACACGAGCGGATCGTACTTCTGCGAGACGTTTGTTACCCTCTTTGGCTTCGCCCGTTCCTTTGAACTTTCCACGACCGAATCGCAACCGAAGTTCGATCGAATCGTTATTCGACGAATTTATTCAACAATAAAATTGGTGCAATTTTATATTAAAAAAATAAAGTCCGAGTCTTATAAAAACCTGCCTGTTTCCATATACAGAATGTTTCACGAAAATCAGGCCACCTGAATATTTTCTCTGTTAGCGATAGCACGAAAACCGTAACTTGACCTGCTCGAAGAGACGAATCGGATGGAAGAACTATGTTTAAAAAAGATTTCTTTTTCAAAGTCATTGGTATTTTTTGTACGTAAGAAACGTGTACACGTGACACATGTATCACATTAGTTTAAAAATTTTTAAGTCCAGAGTCGTTTGAACGTCATATCATAAACGTGTCTGAATGTATAATAATTTTTTCCACGAGCTACGTGATGGAATAAAAGTAAAAGTACACGTTTCTTGTATTTAAAAAATACTTGAAGAAAAAATTATACTTTTAAAAAAATCGTTCTTCCATCCGATTTGTTGGAAGATCAGTTTAAATTATGTCAGCTGTTCTCGTGAAACACCCTGTATTACATTTTCCGCGAACGCGGTGATTCTGTAATTCTAGCAATTACAGTCGCAAACGGGGATAAAGTTCCAACATCCACGTAGATAAAAATGAGTCGTATCTTTCCTCTTCTTCGTATTCGCTGGCCAACTCCACGCAACTCCAACACTCGAGCTTTAAATCCGAGAAAATTCCCGGATCGATCAGTGTTTCGCCGCGGTTTCGCAACGAGTTTCGCAGAGTAACTGCTAAATTCGCGCCAACTCCGAAACGAGCGCCCGCTTCGAATTTCTAAAAGATTAACAAGCTTGGAATTCGGTTAGTCGGGGATTCGTGTCGGTTCAGTCGGCGCTTTGTCCGAGCGGGCAGCGTCCCGTTGTTTAATTTGAAATGAATCACGAAAATGAATCACGGCGTGTCTCTGTGCCGCGCGGCCAACTAATTTTCCCGAAGTTCACAGTCAATCGGTTAACCGCGACGAACTTCTACACCCGGGGACACTTTATTACCCGCTGACTTGAGAGTTAATTAGCCTTATAAAGGATATCCTCTCCATCTTTTCTCGACACTCTTGCGAAATTTCATCATCGCGAAATTTTACCATTTCAACGACAAAGAAATGGATCGTTAATGACAGGATTGTTAAAATGTTCGGGACGATCGATTTGTAATTTCTAACAACTGGATGTTTTACAGACGAAACATAAAAATGTAGCAGATGAAAGCGCTTGTGTTGTAAAGTTTCTTCTTACATCAATATCCCTGATGAAAATTTTACGAATATAACGTAGTTTTACCTCTAGTTCTTTAACGTTTCGAGAAAATTCTTCAAGTTGAAAAATTTTTGCGCCTGAAAAGACTTTCAAAGACTGGAAAAATAACGCGAAGAGTCCTTTGGATTCTAGATATTCGTGAAAAATCATTCACGTTCGTGTAAAAGACCACGATCTGCACGTTGCCGCGTTGCAACGTGAGAAACACGCGCAGAATTATTTATTGCAAACAGCAGCGAGGAATGTTGCGCGTAAATTGATTCGTTCCACGGTGTCGATACAATAAACGAGCACTACCGTGCCGCCTCGACCTATTGATCTATCGCACCGCGTATTTATGGTAACGTATCGAGGCACGAAAGTAGCCGCATTTATTGGCAACTGCAGAAATGTCGATGATACCGAGAGAGGGCTAATGGGGCCGGCCGGAATCGTACGAACACGCTGCCGAATATCAGCCAGTGTAAATGTACATGTAGATCAGAAGTCATAAACGGGGTGAGCTCTCGGTGTATGAAATTGAACTACGATTTCCACGGTGGAGAATCACATGAAGAGAATGGGGATTCGGTTTGCCTGTTCGGCAACGCTGGGATATCATTTGAAGCCATTAACTCGTGCAGCGATTACCACCGGATTAAGAGTAATTACGCAAATTACTCGAGCGCCAGCGAAAGAACCGAATCGTTTCGTTCGCCAAATGTTACGAACGTATTTTAAATAATTAAAACTTAATTCACGCGCCGATTGCTCTCGGTTAGAGCGCTTTCGATTAACACAAGTCGAGTGACTGAGTCGGTCAAAATTTCCGGGAACGAGGAGTTTGAGATTTCTAAAGTTTCTAAAGTTTCAAGGAGTACTAGATCCTAAATGTGAAATATCTCCAAGATCCCAAAGATGCAAGTATCATGCCACGCACGTTTTTTGTCCCAAATTGCAACATTTCCTCAGTTGTAAGTGTATTCAACCACGTTGCGCTGGCAACTGATTGCGGACCATAACGAGTGACCAAACGGAATTATTGAGAAGTAATAAATTTATTATTTGTTTTGCCTATTTTGTTTCACTAAAAATATACTTAAAACTGAGAAAATACATTATAATTTTGGAACACGTCAGTGTAACCCATGGCAAAACAAACAATAATAAATTTATTACTTCTCAATAATTTCTATCCAGCGATATTGTATCGACAAGTTTAAAAAGAAAGCGGCGAATTATTGTATTTACGGCTTGGTCGTTCGTTATGGTCCGCGAACCGGTGCCAGGCGCAACCAGTTTAGAAACAAAAAAGTCTTGAAACGCCAAAGCTTCATATTGCAAACTTTTGCTTCTGAAAGTTCCACGACTCTATGACAATTTAACGAGTCGAACAACACCTGACGAAAATGAAAAAAGAAATCCAACAGAAAGTTTAAACCCTAGCTCCGAAATTGCACAGCGTTGCGCGTCCGTGAACAGTTGTACGGAAAAGAAGTTCTACAATTTTAGAGTTTTATTTCCGTCGCGAGCAGAGCTGCACACGGTCCGTAAATAACTCACCGTAGACAGGAGCGACTATGTGAAATCGGTAGAACGAGAAACTCTGTGTAATTCAACGGTGTACGCTCGTCTGTACGAGGCTCATTATTTATGAATCTTGTGTCGAGGCACGATAGCGCCAAAGAGTCTGGAGGTCGAGCTAAACCGATCGAACTTCCTTAGGAACGTGTAAATGCGTTCGTATTGTGGCTAGGTGAAACCGATCCCTCCAGATCGAACTCGATTCAATCAATGTTCCATTGAAATGCACCCCACTGCGCTATTTACTAATCAAGTTCAACAACACGCGTCGGTGAATTGGCTCGCGATCTGTCGCGCGAGGCACGTCCGATCTGAATTTCACTCGATTCGATTTTTTTCTTTTTTTTTTCAGGTCAGGTACGATCCGTATTTGTTACCAAGTGCACGATAGTCAAGGTAACGTTCAACGAGCGTTATCGATCTGATTTCCATCTAACTTCACTCACACGCAGCGCGCTCGTTGTCGATTTATTTGGATCCCACTGAAAAAAACTGAAAATATTCCGAATCGAATCACGGGAATGCACGAATTATCTTCTCGTTTTAGTGACCTGACGAAAATTTCCCATGTGTTTTGACAACAAGGTTAATGTATTTATGCAACAAGGCTTCTAGTAGATTTGTCATCTACTTGCGAGAGGATGCAATTAAGCCCGGTACGAATTTTGTAGACGTGATGCCAGATTCAATTGAAATTCTACTTTCTCACCTACGTTTTGCATCCGGCAAATCAGCAAACTGATTATGTTATAAATTAAAAGTCTCTCCCAACTCGAGAGAGAGTCGATTCGTTGGCCAACGTTGCCCAACACGTTCACCGGATCCGAGATCGCAGTGCTTTCCAATCCTGTGGAATTATGCCCAATTGGGGGAGCAGCGCGATCCGCGCCATTCGTGCGAGTACGCCACTAACTCAAGAGGAGCTTAAGGTCGAGCTGGCTCGCGACGTTGCATGCTTGTAAAAACGACGATTAAGATACGGATCTGGTGAACGGCAAAAGTGGTGGCAAGGTCCAAAGTCGTGCATGTGCTCGCGAATATTGCACGCTCTTTCGCAACGCTCCTCCGATAAGCCTCGAGAGAACGACCGCGACCGAGACCTCCTCTCATCCTTCTCGCTTTTCCTTCTTATCGCAACGACGATGCAGATCTAGCCGAGGATTGAAAATC